GCGATGGTCGCGGGACCTTGCTTCCCCTCCCCTCTCTCTTAACTCGAAAATCAAATTCGACATCTCGATTTTCGTCACGCGCTTATCGCCAGGTTGCCGGAGATTAACGGACGCTCCGAGAAGCGTTACATTCCAAGGAGCTGTTTCTCCCGCGGGTCTCGTCGGTGGAAAAATTATTTTCCCTCGACTCGCGTCTTTCATTTTCCTTTTCTTGTTTTTTTTTCTTTTAGCGAGATTGACGCAGCGGCGAGACCAGGCCGCGCTATTCTGTAAACGCGCGCCGTCGACGCGCCCTTCCCGAGCAGAAATTTTAGTAGGATCCTAGTAGGGGCCTAATAAGGACGCCTTAATGCCTGATCAGGCACTCGTCAGGCAGCGCCGATAGGGCCCTGACCGTAAATGTAACGTTGAGAATCAAAATTGCCTGATCAGGTTTTCCTTATCAAGACCTCGTGACTTGCCCCTTGTTACTTATCTTGTGATTGATTCTAAGCCCAATCACGGGCCAACGCTACGGACTTATGTGAGGCCGATGACTTATCCAGAAACTATTCAGAACTGGCTTGATAACCATTCTTGGGCCAACGTTATCATTCCGGATTTAAATCACTAGCCGGGCCGATCTTGGTTGAGATACGGATGCCAGGGATGGGAGTGCGGCTAGACCATGTTTGGACCATGCCCTGACCCGTTTAACTTTTCTCGCTCGAGGCGGGACCCTCTCGTCGAGGTTGCACCCTTGAATTCGAGCGCCGCTGTCGTCCGGTAATCAGCCGCGATATGAGAATTTATACGGGCCGAGGGGATGAATTTTCCGCGCGTCCATCCGCCGGGCGGACGGGAGCGTGGCGTGAACAAGGGCGAGAAGGACCTCCTTTACGTGCGTAATATACATCCTTCGCGGAGGGAGCCTCGATCCTTTCTGGGCACGAAGTCAAGTAATTGGCAATAAATTCCGGGCGCGGGGCGAGTCGTAAAATTTTCTCGCCGGCATTGTCATAAATTATAGATAACGCGGATACGTTCGCCGCGTGGAGAGGAGTTAGGCTCGCTTTGCGGGTCGCCTGTAACAAAACGCTCAAGCGGAATATGTAATAGTACGGCTCGTTACACAGTCCTTCCCGACGTCGCGTTCGCGAGCGGGAGGGAAGAAAAAAAAAAAGACCGTCGGAAGGTTACTCTCGCTTCCCACTGTGAGCTTTCGTATAAATTACAAGGCTCAACGCCAAGAGCGATATCTCGCGTTAATATCCTCCCGACGACGGACGCGTAGATACTCGCGTGACTTACTCGAAAACTTATTTATATATACGCAGCGGCGGCGCTACCGATCGATCTTCGTTTAGACGGCGCGGCAAACTCGAAAATGATGAGCGCGATATTAAATTCCCATTTTTATTACATCAACGTTAACATCGCGCGCCGCTTAATTACGCGGCACATGGCGTTGTTTTTACAAGGCGGCGCGCCGCGCCGAGGGCGGCCGAATTACGCGCTCGCGAGACAGAGAGATAGACCGAGAGACAGAGCCAGACACAGAGAGAGGAGAGAGAGAGAGAGGAGAGAGAGAGAGAGAGAGAGAGAGAGAGAGAGAGAGAGAGGGGGGGGAGAGAGAGAGAGGGGGGAGGGGGAGAGGGAGAGAGAGAGAGAGAGAGAGATTGGCGGAGGCTGGCGTTTTCAGAAGCTCGCGTCGCGACGGCGTAGCTCGCTTTATGAAGATTAGATCCGTCCGGGGCGTGTCCCGCACGCGTGTCGCACAAAACCCGGACAATTCTCCCGGCGCGGATAGACACGGATAGCCGCGCGTATGCAAAGATAACGAGCGGCGGAGCGGCAATCGCCCCGCGGCTGCTGGGGCGCGCGATTACAACGGAGCTGTAATTTTCGAAAATTCGATAGAAATGCGGCTCGTCATTACGAGAGGCGGACGAAGGTGCGCCGGCGAACGCGCGTCGATTATGGCGCCCCGCTATACGATATCTGTTTTCGGCATTTTGATAACTACGCGAATTACGCACGTTCGCTCGCGCAAAAAAGGCCCCCGCGGAGCGGAATGTCACGTGTCAGCCTGTCACTTACAACCGGGAACGTCGTCCGATCGTTTTAACAAGCGAGTTTTTAATTTTAAATAAAAACACGACCTCTCCCTGCCCCCTCCGCCCTCTCACTCTCTGTCTCTGTTGCCGCCATCCGCGCTTTGTTCTCCGACTGGCGAAAGATCGCTCGACATTTAATGCTCGTATTATACTGGTCTCGTGCGCTCCATACGTCGCAGCCGTGAATCGGATCGAAATTCGCCACGAGTTTCAAATAATTTAAAAGCGAGAAAGAAGACGGGGGAGAGGGAGAGAGAGAGAAAGGAAGAGAGCGTCCCCGCTCGCTACGCCGTGATACTTGATCGCGCGAGAATCGATCTCGCTCCTTCCTCGTAAGCGTTATTTACAATTAAATTAAAACGCCGGATTCGCGTCCGGCGGATGGAGTCTTCGGGGGCCGCGACGCCGAATGTATTGTTAAGGATAAGCCGATCTTCTCGATATTCCATTTATACGCCGCAATGCGTTTGATCGATGCGCAGCGTGAATGCAATTCCCATCGAATCTGCATACGGCAATATTCCCTCGGCTTTGTATATTTCGATATACGTACATATATATATATAATATATATATATATATATATTATATCCGCCAAAACGCGGGACTCGCGATGAACAAGAGCACCGAATCCGCCGTTATCCGTTGCCTGTATCTGGCAACGATGACTAATACGATGGCTCGAGGACGGGGCGATTCTAATAGCGAGATTCATCTCCTCCCGCGGTAACGAAGCCGACCAATATCTTCCTTCTTTTTGCCCACCCCCGGCTTTTTTTTTGTTTCCGCTTTTAGCGAAACGAGAAGGATGTACAATATATCGTGATGTATAACGCTGTTCGCCGGACGGGCGGACGTTTCGATATAGGAATTTGCCGTTGACAGATTACATCGGTTCAACATATTTGTGTAATCCCGCGGGAACGAATGGGATTTGGCATCGTGGCGATAAATAATTTGTAATAAATATAGCGCGGGCAATCGAAGAACAGCTAAATCAACGTGGCTCAAGGAACAATTGAAATGCAATTAAAGTTTTCGTTTGTAATAATTGCGATGTGAATAGCTGCGATGTCAACGCGACACTGCACCATAGTTTTTCATTTTAATTAATTTGCTAAACTGCTAAGCGTTTTAACACACTCGCTGAAATCTTGACATTTTCATAAAACCGGTGTTCATTTGAAAAGTATGTCGCGTTTTGACGAAAACAATTAAATAACGACGAGTAGAAAAGAGGAGAAGGAGAGAGAGAGAGAGAGAGGGGGGGGGAAGAGAGAGGGAGACAGAGAGATGACAGCGGTAATGAATATTCAAACAGCAGATGAGACTGCACTTGGCGCGACTCGAGTTCGCCGAATTTTGCCGCGATGCGACTTAAGATCTTCAACGACGCTTCATCCCCGGCATATTCCCGGGCCCGTGGAGGAAGGCGGGAGACGTACAGCGCTTAATCACGGCGAGAGCTCGAAGGACGTCTTCCCGTAAGACAGAACGAGGGGCATTGAGGACTGAGCGGCAGCCAGGTTGAACCCCCCACGAAGTGTAAGGGGGCAGGGTTGGAAATAATCTTTTAAAGCCGGCCGAAGAAGTTGCCGCAGTTATAAACAGAAATTTAGATCCAGTTGCTAAAGTAAACACCGGGGAGCGCCGCCACTCGGGTGCTCCCCGTCCCGTTTCATCCCTTTCCAGTTGCTCTCGCTACCCCCCCCCCCTCCCGCCCCTTCCGTTGGTCCTCGATCCGCCACGCACCAATCTAGGTAACCCTGGGGATACCCTGCACTCAACCGCTGAGGGTAGAAAGAGAGAGAACGGCCGTCCTCGCGTTTCACTGAACTTTTCACTTAGCCACGGTCGCCGATAAAAAGTTGGCTGATCTAATAACCGGCGACACACCAGTGACTCCGACCACGATCGAAGTTTCCCAAACGATTTCGCGGTGAGGTTGCCGCGAGCGACAACTCTCAAAAATGCGCCGCGTGTGACCTAGGTGGGACTCGAAGGCGGAAGAAGGGGGAGATCTTACTTCGTCGCGAGTTTTCGAGATGGGACGGGAAGGAATTTTATTCCCGATGATGTCAAAAGAAAGAGAGAGAGAGGGGGGAGGGAGAGATAGAACGTGGCGGGGTGGAAATTTGCTGATTTATTCTCGGAAGGTTCCCTCGGAACCACGTATATCATCCCTTTCGGCGCGTATATCAAACGTCAGTCGTACAAACTTGTCTTAATCTTCAGCCACCCATAACTTAAAGACCGAATCAGATTTAGTAATTGTCGACGCAGGATTGGGATTGGCGATTGTCTTACTAGCCAATGAGAGCAAAACAGCCAGTGATTTACTCGACTCTAATCGCCAATCTTGTCTTAATCTTCAACCACCCTTAACTTAAAGGCCGAAGTAGACTCAGCAATTGTCGACGCAGAATTGGGATTGGCGATTGTCCTCTAGCCAATGAGAGTCGAGTAAATCACTGGCTGCTTTGCTCTCATTGGCTAGAAGACAATCGCCAATCTTGCCTTAATCTTCGACTGCACCCTTTTAAAGGCCGAAGTAGACTTAGCAATTGTCGACGCAGAATTGGGATTGACGATTGTCCTCTGGCCTATGAGAGTCGAGTAAATCACTGACTGCTTTGCTCTCATTGGCTAGAGGACAATCGTCAATCGCCAATCTCGATCCAATCCGAGTCGGCAATTGCTAGTCTGTTTCGACCTTACGGACTGACTTTCCTTCCTTTATTTTTGAGGACAGTTTTAAATTAATCGAAAAGCCCGCGGACGCGCAGCGGCTCGCTGGGACACCCTGTACAGGCGAGTGTAGATGTGTCGCAACAGGGTTAGCGAGGGCAGATAAACGTTTTTCAGCGTATACATATTGTATTACTGTATTTTGTGCTAGCTTACCGCCCGTGACGCGACACGTGAGATAGGGTGTATCGCCTTCCTCATAAGGACCAGCTGTGCCGTTCAAGATGCGGCCCCATCGATCCAAAATGGTCGGCTGCTCCGGTGGAACTGCAACGGAAAGGAGAAATTTGTACAAGTGCTGGCTGCGGAAACGGAAAAACGAAATGAACGGCGCTATGTAAAAATAAAATGAATTACAATTGTAACTTGTTTTTAACACGTTTAATTAAATATAGAATTTATACATTTATCTTTTTATATTCGTGTATTACACACGTATAATAATATTATATTAATACACACGGCCGCGTAAAATATTAAACTTTACTATTATTATTCTCCCGTGGCTCCTGCAAGTAAATTTTTAGCACAATGAAATTAATGTAGCAAACGAAACAATAAAACTCGAATTTTATAAAATAATTACAAGATAGAGCAATGTAAGTGAAGAGGCCGCATCGGTGGAGTTAACTTTATGAAAAATTTCCTCGTCACTCGACGGCCTAATGAATCATTTCACGACGCCATTTGAATGCGCGACCTAACTGCTGCGGGGTTTCGGTCGCCTCCACGTGTCCGTACAGGCCTTATTACGGTTTCACGGGAGAGCAGCGGGCGTTCGGACACTGCGTGGGGTATCAACGATATTTATGTCACTTGAGTTATGCATTTAGCCGTCACTGGCTTCCTGCCTTGCTCCTTTGTATTTCGTACAAATTCAGCGTACCCTGGGACCGGGGGATGCGCGCCCGGTATCGGCCGCCCCGGCGTGTACCTATGATCGTTCACGGATTAAGCGCGGCGATATTTTTTCGCGGAATATTCGCTCTCGCGAAATCGAAGCGGAGTCGGATAAACCGGCCAGGATATTTCTCTTGCTTTTTTCATTATTTTGGAAGTTACGCGCATACGTCGAACGTATCCGGCATTTTATCAACGAGGCTGGTGGCACTCGCGCTTCTCTCGTTTCTGCCCGTGTGCTCACCCGCGCCGCTACAAATCGCGCCTCTCCCCGTTACTCCGCTCCTCCCTCGCTCATTTCGCCGCTCTTTTAGCTCTCTTTCGTGAATTATGCGGCCTCGGGTAAAGCGCCTCGGCCCCCGTCGGCCGTTCCGGAGTAATTTTCGGCAACCGTAATCGCGCGCGCGTATATATCGACGTTTTATCGATTCTTTTAATTTAAAAAGTCAGCGCGCCAGTATTTTCAAAGTACGTAGCTCGCGACCAGGTGGAATATCGCTACTCGATATATCGGTTGAAGGATCTCCAGGGTGAGTTTACCCGACACTGCGAATCCCGCGTTTAACGATATGTGTACACCAGAGCGTGCACCAGCCACTCCGACGCGGCCCTTTTCTCCCTCGAAACTGCCCCGCACACGTTCGCCGCACGATATTCGCTAGCAAGAGAAACACGCGTATATCTATTGAACCGTGAAATATTCAACGTGGGTTTCACGGCCCGTAGTGCCGACCGGTTTTTTTTTTATAAGCGATTCTACAGCCGACTCGAGCCTAAAAAAAGAATTGTTTAAACGGAGAGAGTGCTCTCGCGTTTCGTGCGATCTCGGCAGCGGCGAGCGATAAACGAGTGGTGCGCGCGCGTTAACATATACCGAATACATATTTGTATAATTAAACATGTACCGCGTGTATCGATTCGACGTAATTGCCCGCCAATACTGTTCCGTCCATTCGTCCGTAGGGAAATTTTTGCGTCTTTTCCCGCGGCTTGTCGAAGGTGGGTTACGCGCGAAATGCACGCCGGCCGTACATTGCACTCCGAGGGGAAAACCGCTGAGGGCATTGTGGTGTACAAATCTGCGGCATTACTGGGCATTACTAGGCATTACTAGACATTTTTCGGGCATTAGGCCTTGCTGGGGAATTATAAAGATAAAATAAGATAAATAAGATAAAATAAGATAATAAGATAATGTAATGCTCACTGGGCATTAGTGGGCATTGGTGTATGTACAAGATTTTGGTCAACGGTTTCTCCCTCGGCGTACTCCGACAAAAAAGGACATTGTGGTGTACAGACTTGCGGCATCACTGGGCATTACTAGACATTTTTTGGGCATTAGGCCTTGCTGGGGCATTATAGAGATAAAATAAGAGAAACCAAGATAAATAAGATAAAGTAATGCCCACTGGGCATTAGTGCACTGCAAAAAATTTCTGGTTGAATATGGACGAATCAGATAATTCCTTTAGGATTTACCAGAATTCCTTTAGGATTTACCAGAATTCCTGTAATTATCTGATTCGTCCATATTCAATCAGAAATTTTTGTGTGCGCATTGGTGTACATAAGATTTTGGTCAGCGGTTTCCCCCTCGGCGCACTCCGAGACAAAAATCCCCGAAACAGCCCGGGGAATCCCCGTACCGCATTAAGGGAAATCCCCGCGTTAAAGGAGGGCCACGGATGGTGGCTGAAGCGAATCTCGCTCCCGCCGAGAAACGGCGACTGGCGTGCGATCGTCATGGAGAACGGTCAGAAATCGGTGCGCGATAACGCACGGTTTCCCCGACGGAGGCACTTAATCAAAACGTTCTTCTCGCGTCCCGACAAATTCAATTTTGGGGCATCCACCGTAACATCCTCCCGCCAACATCTCGGCGCGGCGCGGCCGGCCTGTGAGCGAGCCTTTCACCTCTTTTCCCGTCTTCTTCATCCCCCCCTCTCGCGCACTCTCGCTCGCTCTCGCTCTCGCTCTCCAGCCGTCTCCTCTCTCGCGATGGCGCGATGAAATTTCCTCCCCCGCCCCCACCTGCCGTTCCACCTGCCGGAACGTACCTGTAAAGTATTCACGAGGATTTATGGCCGCTTTTCAATCCATAATCGGGGTGTACCCCGGGTGGAAAATAAAGCGTCATCCATCGTGGCCACGCACGTCAGCGTGCCAATCAATCGATGCCCGCGCCGCGTCTCCCGGTCTCGCTCTCCTCCCCGCTTTTTTTTTATCTTCTCTATTTTGGCGCGCGCTCTCGTCTCGTACTTTTATTTTCGACGCCGTAGCGTCGAAATTTCGCTCTGGTTTCCTGGTCGCTCCGCTCCTCTTTTCGATCTCTCCGTCTCGTCCTTTTTTCCTATTTCCCTCCCCTCCCCTCTTGCAGACAGCCTTGGGAGAGGCTCGGAACGGAAAGGGAACGTCGAGGAGATATCACTGTAGGATTTTCGCATGGAAAACGCCTCGCAGAAAGCCCCTTGTGTTAAGCTCGTTTGACGCTGCGCGCGCACGGACTAAGCTTCGGGCGTAGATTAATTAAATCCGCATCAAAGTCGATGCGCGAGAGCGTGCGAATTGCTTTCCTCGATGTTGCCATTCGTTTCCAATTCATTTTCTTCAAGTGCGTCCTTTCCCTTTGGGATCGCGCTCGTTATTTATAAAATCGCAATTTTAGATATCCCATCGGGTGTACATTCTTACAAACTTCGTAATTGCGTTTTATAATACGAAAGGCGAGGGACGAATCACGTGAATTACGGTAAATTATTCTGTATGCAATGTATCGGAATTCGTAGCAAATTGCTTGAAACGCAACTCGAATCCACGTCCCGTAATTATATCACTTTATGGGAGTAATCTCAATTTTCTCAATGCTTTGTCGAACAGCTATCGTAAAATCTAAAAACGTGATTAAAATTAAATCGCTACAAAAGGAACACGGCGCACAGTGTCATCGTAGAACTCTGATTTATGCTCGTGGTAACATAATTAAAAATTACTAACGCTAATTAACGCTGCTAGACGTTTAATCGGCTGCGGTTTGAAGGAAGGATCGATATCCTTCTTCCCAATTGCGCGTAACGCAACCGATACGTAATAACAATTAAACGTCGCATTTGGATGACGATGCGGTTGAGCATGGTAATGTTCGCGTAACGTTTAATGGCATCGCCGATAATTTAGTCCAATTTACTTGGAAAAGCTGCGTATCCGGGTAAATTAAATGGGGATCACAGCGTGTCGTGCATCATCCGATCTGCGACGATCCGCGACGGGTGACGACGCCCCGGAGAGCTTAATTTCTACGAGACTCTGGAGGCGATATTTCGCTGGACTTTTGCACGACCACGGCACACCTGGTATATTTTCTCTCTGCTTTTTAATCCAGGATCCATCCCGATCACTCGGTAATCTCTCTACAACTTGGCAGAGAAGATTATTTATTGAACCTGGGAATACGCGGACGTCAAAAATAGAGGCCACATCCGCGATAAATAAATCGGAAATCAAGAGGGACGTCACCTTGTTTTTTGGCCGAAAAAAAATTTGTAAAATAAATACGGTTCGACATCTTAAGATCGACCAATTTGTACGAAATGTAGACCTTTGTTAATAAATTCTTTCGAAATTAACATTTTTACTTACAAAAAATCATTTTATTTTAGTAAATTAATTTTTACCTTTCGTTCAACTTTCGTTTCGGTACTTTTTATTAAAAAATGCATACTTTCTTTGATATTTGCAAAAATATATAAAATAATCGCGATTTCAAAAGTTTTTGGGTGCAAACTTTTCAAGGAAGCATTTTTCGACCCATGCAGAAACTTTTTGTACAGAATTAAATTTCCTATAAAATCTCTAAGTCTGGCCGGAACGTTCGGGGCCACCGTGTATATAAAAGTGAAATTCTGTCTGTCTGTATGTTCTTTATACAATTCTATGCCAATGGACCGATCTGGACCAAGAGTTAGAAAGTCAAATCTCAAACCCTGAGATCAATAATAAATTTTAATATCTAAACTCATGGAAAAAGAACTTGACCAATATAAAAAAAGGTGATTCAAGAGGAAGAAGGTCCGGGCTAAGCCGGATAAGGTCACTAGTATTTTAATAGAAGTTTGACAAGATAAGCGACATGAAAAAAGTTGTTCGGAACTAATTGGCTCAAGTCACCGAACGTGCGTCTCTTTAACAGATATGTCGTTAATATTGTGTGACAAGTTTCGATACATTTTCATCTTATGTCGGACTGACGCAAATCCGGGAAGATAGAGATATTCGGCGAAATTATTCGTCAATCTGCCAAATCGGTTTCCATGCGGACGCGCGGGAGAGGCACACACGGAATTTATTTGTTCTAGATTTCATTATCG